CAACACTTGGCAACTGCCTGCAGGTGAGCCCCTGATTGGCAGAATCAATTATTTTGTTGGAATAGAGACAGGAGCCCCCAGTGGCTTAAAGATGTAGTGTTGCTTTAATAAAAAATGGCCAGGCAATGTCCCCTCTGTGTGCCTGATATTAAAAAGGCTTTTTACTTGCATTGTTCATTTCATAGGAATGCTGTTTCACTAAAAGCTTTTTTAAATGGATTAATTGAAATCAGGTAGTAAAATAACTTACAGCTGTAGCTCTAATAGATTAACATGCCCTTCCCAGTTGGCTTTGTTAGCCTAAGTGTTTGTCATCGCCCACAGTTTACACAATGTCGGCCAGTATTTCTGAATTTTCCTTGTTCCGTCGTAATTATTTATTTTTCTTTTTTACCAAAGCAGTTCCAGCTCACAACCACAGCCGCTGTTGGAGCTACTTCCTCCCTAAAAAGTCTTTCTGTTAGCACCTAGTCGTGGTGTGTTAACTGACTGTTTTTCTGTGTTTCATAATATTTTTCATTTTCCACAGCACAGAGGTGTGGCTCTTGTCTGAGGCTCTTTTCCTTCCAGGACAGAGTAGGGATGTTAAGATTGATGGGTTTGCATGGATTAGCAGAAATGCATGCGAGAATAAATAGAGCAGCTGTGAAAAGATGCAGTTTGGGGGATTAGATTTAAACTGGATTCCTTTAATAACAGGATTCTCTGTGGTGATATACCTTACTGTTGACAGGGTTTTTACCCCAGCATGTAAATGAAGGCTGTTTCTTCTAAGGAGAAGATCCAGAGGCAAGGCTAGAGGCGTTTAAGCATGAATTAGCACAGCTCATCTTATTCCACTCATGAGCGACATGTGAGCGTGAAGGTCTACCTGTAACCTGGGGCTGGGTGATATCAAGATCAGACATTGAGATATATTTGAGCTATATCGCGATAAGTGATATATTCACGATGTGTTCAAATAACTCCACATTGTTGCATGTTACAAAAGACATTTTTTGAACTAGGGGTTTCTTTGTTTTCTTAAGGCCAATTTATGCTTCTGACACATAGCCTCTGCAACCGTCAAATCCGTCCCTGTGCATGACCATGCCTCCCACGCAGAGGTTCTGCAGCCGTCATCCCGCACCTCAAACGCGTCGGACAGTCGCAAAACCGGGCAGACCTCAAGTGGAAGTGCGCAGACAAAAAGCAGCTGTGATTGGTCCTTGGTATGCCTTTCTGGCTGTCTGTGTGGTCGTCCTTCTCGATTCGGTGCCGAGGCGCGCCATTTTTAAAAACCGAGGAACAATTACAATGGACAACAACGACGAAAGGTTAATCAAGGAGGTTCGGAAGTATAACCACTTACACGATGCCTCAGACAAATTATGTAAAGATGCCAATGTCTCTGCCAACTCCTGGAGGGAGATCAGCCAGAACCTGTTCCTCTTCGATGTCTAGCAACTAGGGATGGAACGGTTTATGAAAACCGTCCGAACCGTTCGGTTCGACTGTCTCGGTTCGATTCACGTGGGTTGCGTTCAGTTCATGCGCGGCTCCTTTTTCTCATAGGCGATGCGTGTACACTCCAGAGCAGAAGGTGGCAGTACTGCGACCAAAGCCAACCACCAGTAGTAAACAAGAAGAAGAAGCGAAGCAGCGTAGCCGGGTGTAGCAGAAAAAAATCTGTTGTTGTGGAGAATTGTGTGGGTATGGCGAGTGGGAAAGAACAGGAGTTGGAAGACGCGCCAGCAGCACTTTATAGGTCTGCTGTATGGGACCACTTTGCATTTAGAGTGACCTACGATGACGGCGGAAAGAAAGTTGTGGATAAAAACGGTGTGCAAGCATTGTGCAACACGTTTTGTTTATGCTAACAGCAACACGACCAACATGTCAGGCTAACAATCAACATATACCGAACCAAACCGAAAACCGTGACCACGAAACCGTGAACTAGCAACTCTAGATCTATCTCTGAGACCGTGATATCTTGCAGATGCACCATTGTCGTTTTAATAGATAAACACTCCCGCCGGCGCCGCTGAAGCTCTCGTGACCATCCGCCTAAGATCTCGCGAGTTCTCCAATAGCCCCCCCCCTGCGCTTTGGCGGGAAACTGCTGTGCGTCCCTAGAAATTCCAGACCGACAGTGCAGAAGAATACCAGCAAAACTGGTTCGCGACCAGACCCAAGCAACATTTGATGTGTGCGGTTGCAGAAGTATAATCTGCCCTTTAGCCTTCATTGCTGTTTGGTTAAGTTTTGTTTATTCATTTTTTTTTTTTTTCACGACTTTTCTTTTGCGTTTAGAACTTCTTAAAATCCGATATGATGACTATATTGACACGATAAGATATAGGCAGGCGTGCCTGAATCTGCCCACTGTAGGTGTATTACTGCCCCCTAAAGGGCTGGAGGGACATAAAGTTACTAATTTTATTTTACCGTTTGTGATTTAAAAGGGTTTTGTTTTTTCAAGCTTCAAATATAGATATTATAACAGATCATGTTTTCTCTCTACAAATAAAAAAGTGATTCAGCAAAATTTTACTCAACATAAGTGTATTTTTTTATTATTGTTTTGTATTGAGCAGGTAATTAAGACAATTTGCCAATGGAATTAGATAATGAGTTTAAAATAAGAAAAACACGTCTATAATCTAATTTCAATTGCATAATAATTCTTATTTTAAGGGATAGAATACTCCATCTGTTGGACAATCGTAATATTTACCTGCTCAAATTAATTTATGGGTTCATATTGCTTACAAGACTAAATTTCATTTCTCACCAAAGGTAAAAGAAAAGTTCTTCTGGTATGTTTGTTATAAAAGAATATATATTTTTTACTTAATTCTGGAAATAATTTAAATGTGTCTGTTTTAAAAGTACAGAAGATCTGATCTCTGCAAATATTTGTCATACCAAAAGGTTTAGAGCTCAAGAATTCGGAAGCAGCCCCGTGTCGCTATGCTAACCTGCTCTATTATACAGTCAAAAAACCCCCAGACTAATGCTGAAAAATGCTGCAGAGTAGGAGTTTAACATGTGAGAATGATTACACTCTCAGATTGTCTTTTTTTAAAGTAGCACAGCTTGTGTAACTCCAGTTAACTGGCTGTAGGACAGAGGCCCATAAAGCTTAAGTAGCTGTCCCTACCTTTCAACATCTGCTCCTCTCCACTTAGCTTTGCATTTCTGTCTTTAAAAGTCATAAAAACTAGTCTTCTAATGTGAATTTAAAGTATTTTTCTTAAATCCATTCATTCTGTTTACCCTGTTTCACCTCTTCACTGTTTCTCTTCTCTCTTCCTCGGATGTGGTTGACACAGGAACCCCTCCATGGCTTTCTACCAGGCCTTCCAGTCTGGAAGCAGATTAAGAGACTCAAAGGCTCACAGTGATAGGTACAGTACTGCGCTGGATTGGACTGGGCAGGCCTGCCAGAGTGTAACAAAGCGTGTGCAGTGTTCAGCAGCAGTGAGCTTTGCTTTTGACACGTGCATGGGTTGAGTTTGGAAACAAAGCTTGGCAGCGAGCGCAGCGTTGGCCTGTAGGCTTCTCAATAAGATCCCTCTCTTTAATTCCCTGCAGGCATTCTTCAGTGCCTCCAGTGACATCATGTAACACCTCTGTCACTAGGAAGTTATGAGGGGCTGTTTTTTTACGAGCTTTGCTAACAGATCTACGCAGCAGGATAATTGCTCTGATCTCCAGTTTCAAAGATGAAGGAGAAAGAACACGGAGGCAAACAACTCAAATGGTCCGACTGGTAGTGGGATTAGAAACCAGTTCAGCCAGTCCTCACCTCTTTTTATTCATGTAAAAAAAATGGAGGGAATTCTTTGTATTTTTTTTCTTCGCTGCAACCTTCAAATGTTTGACACTTTGTCACATTGCAGGCTGACTGTATTTAACTTGGGTTCGAGGGGACACAAGCCGATAAAACACCTGAAGGTTGTTGGGGTTTAACGACCCATCCGCCTCCTCGAGTCAAGAGCTTTTCGATCTAAATATTTTTCAGGAAATGCTTTTAAATTTTGGCCCATTCCACTTAAAATCTGTCCAATTAAGTGGAGAACAACTTTCTAGTTTTTGCACCAGTGGCGGTTCTAGACTAAATGTTCCGGGGGGCCAGCGTGTTTTCATGGGGGCACAGAAAACCATGAAGCAAGAAAAACCTTGCAAGTGATTAAAATATATTAAGAGAGCTGCATAAGGGGGAATTTCCATTCAATTAGGTTTAATTGAAATTATGTCTTCCAACTGAAAATATTTATTTTTGGCTTGAAAATGTTCTTTTGGATTGTCGTTAAAATAAAAATAAAAATACCTTAGCATAGCAAAAAAAGCAACTCAAAAAATCGTAGCTATATAAATATCTAAAAGATCAAATACAGCTATTATTTGGATTGTTAGGTTAATATACATTCATAATTTAGGAATTTTACATATTTTAAAATTAATTCAAGTTAAAATGACAGTTTTCTATAAAATCTGAATTATAACTCAAGAAAAACTGATTAATTCAGCTGTATTTTTTTAGATTTGTTTTGAAAAAAAAAAACATTTAGCAGATGAAAACTATCCTATCTCAATACTACGGAAGAGGATTAGGGCCACTGAAAAAAAAATTAATAAAAGTTAACTGATTTTTAAATTTTCTTTCAGTTATATATGGGAAAAAAGTCAGAATTCTGATTTTTTTTCTCAGAATTCCAACTTTTTCTCAGAATTCTGACTTTAATCTCAGAATTTTGAACCTTAATGTAGATGGGCACCATGAAGGCAGAGATGTGGGAGCACTCAGCTTCACTGACAAAGATGTGAGTTGTTTGAGGTGGCCAGTGACACATTGGTGGAAAATGACGGAATTGGGCAACTTTTTACGTGTCTGAGGGGTCCCCTCATTAATGGAGGAGCAGAAGGTCATTTAAACAAGAGAGCTAGTCTCTAAAACAGACATGGCTATGGCTTGATGCTAACATGTTTGTTAGCTGACCGAATTCTGAGAAAAAAGTCAGGATTCTGAGATTAAAGTCAGAATTCTGAGAAAAAAAGTCAGAATTCTGACTTTTTTCCCATTTGAAACTGAAATAAAATTTAAAAATCAGTTAACTTTTTTGTTTTTTTCAGTGGCCCTAATCCTCTTCCGTATAATACCACTGAAGCTATCACCTTAGTTTTTTTTTAGAATGATTAGTAAGACGGAATCTTTTAAAGAAAAAAATAAAAAATTAACCATGTCTCTTCCAGCGAATATCATTGGAATTTCTTTTAGTATTATGTCTTGGGCACAGGGGCCATAACAGTGGCCAGGGAATGATCTACAGGGGCACTGGCCCCCGTTGGCCCCCGTCTAGAACCGCCCATGTTTGGCACAGATTCTAAAATAGCTTTGGCTTAGGACTTTGACTAGGCCATTCTGACCCAGGAACATGCTATGATCTGAACCGTTCCCTTGTATTTGGATGTTCAGGTTTGCTGTAATCTGACCAGCAGCTTCTCCCTCATGCTTATTTAGTTAAGCTGAGCTCTGAGAGATGCTCAAAGTTTAGGTTAATTGGTTTCATAACGTAATCCTGCGTTACAGCAGCTCTTCACATCTTTACTAACCATCTCCTCTGGTCTTTATGATGTAAGGTGTGAATTTGGTCAGTTATTGTTACTGCAAGCAAAGAGCACGTTTTGTACCGTAAATGGAAATAAAAAAAAATTCAGAAATTTAAAACTTTTCAAAAATGTTTAAATAAAAGCAATTTCAGAGTAACTTTGTCCTTTTCTTAGATTATGCTATTTTATTTTTTTCTTCTTTCTTTTTTATTTATTATTATTATTTATTTATTTTTGTTTTTTCAGATTGAGTTTTCCTTCTTTTCAAACTGAATTTTCCAGATCCCATTCTGTTAACTTGTGAGGAGGGGCTTTCCTGTGGAGTTAGCTGCAAAGACATATTTCTGTTGTCAGATTATTTACCTTTTCAAATTTGTATCACTTTTTATCACCATTTATTGTTATTTTACAGATTTTATATTTTCAAATAAAATTTTTTACTAGTTTCTATGGAAGAGGATTAGGGCCACTGATAAAAAAAAAAGTTAACTGATTTTTTTAAATTTTATTTCAGTTTAGTATGGGGAAAAAAGTCAGAATTCTGAGATTAAAGTCAGAATCCTAAGATTAAAGTCAGAATTCTGAGAAAAAAGTCAGAATTCTGAGATTAAAGTCAGAATCCTAAGATTAAAGTCAGAATTCTGAGAAAAAAGTCAGAATTCTGAGATTAAAGTCAGAATTCTGAGATTAAAGTCAGAATCCTAAGATTAAAGTCAGAATTCTGAGAAAAAAGTCAGAATTCTGACTTTAATCTCAGAATTTTGAATCTCAGAATTCTGAGTTTTTTTCTCAGAATTCTGACTTTAATATCAGAATTCCGACTTTTTTCCCATACTATACTGAAATGAAATTAAAAAATCAGTTAACTTTTTTTTTTTTTTCCCAGTGGCCCTAATCCTCTTCCGTAAGTTTCAGATTAAGTTTCATGAACAAGATTCTTTTTAAGTTGACTTATCTGTTTTGTAAAACTCAATATGAAGACGAGAAATTAATAAAAAATTATTTTAAAAATGCAAAAATACACTTTTCTTCTTACTGACTGAAAAGCCTTACATTGAAAAAATGTCTGCTATAAAGTTTTTCTTTTTTATTTACTTTACAACCTTTTTTTAAAAAACGTGGTTTTTTTGCTTGCTACAATAACGGAGCAAAATAGCCTCCATAACGATGTTGTTTGTCCTCCGATGTTCTCTTAATAACCTCTAAGACCCAGAGCAGAGCAGCTTCCTGTATCCTGAGAGTAAATCACACACCTGTTCAGATTTGGTGTTTAATTCTGACAGGTTGGGTAGAAGCTGTGACAGAGCAGTTAAGGGGGAGTCAGTAGATGTTCATACACCTTTTTAGTTTCAGTCCGTCATAAAGTGCAGCCGTTAAATTAAAATGAGGCTGAAAAATGTGTTTTTTCAGTGAAGTTTGTGAAGTCGTGCGAATGAACAAGAGTTTGTGTTAACCACCAAACTTGTACGTTAGGAGAACTCACCTCGCCTGTTTTCTTGTGTTCTGGTCTTAGTTTTATTGGAAAGCTGATGCAGATTTGGTGTATTTAGAGATGTCTCCTGTCTCCTATCGGGAATACAGAAGACAACATAGAAAACTAACTATAGGGTCTGTTAGAACTGATCGTTTATAAAGAGATTATAGATATATGCAGGCCTGCTGGTCTACCAATAAGTTTGATTTTTGATGTTTGCTCTGTCATGTTTTCATTCACATTTGCTTCTCTATCCTCCCTGCATGCACCCACCCTCCCACCTGTCAGAAATAAATACATTTACTAAAAGCAGATATTTAATTTTGTGACGTTTGGCTAAGGGTATCGTTCCTGATGACGGATTTATTTCATATTTTCTTTCAGCAGTTGGTTTGGGAATGCTGGCATGTCTCTTATCGCCAACCCCCTCAGCTGTTAGCAACAGTTTGTCTTAGGGAGTGAAAAGAATGAAAGAAAATTGATGTTTTGATGTTGTAATCAGCTACGCTGATTGGTCGATTTGAGCTGTGCATTAGTCAGACATTCAGGCAGAGGTCTTAATCAGCAGCAGCTCAGACGCAGGTTTGTTCTTCAGCTTTTTTTAACCAAACGTTCATTAAAAACGTGGTTTGACGGAGTCAACAGCATTTCAGTCCCTTTGAGTTTAAAATGAGTCTGATATCATAGAAGTGAAAGATGTGTTTTGATTTTGTTTTATTGCTTTTTAACATAGAAACTGTTTTAACATTTTACAAACCGACTTCTTTTCACAATAAGCTGCTTGTTAAATAGACATTCAGGTTTTTTTTAAAACACAAACTTCTCACCAGTAACCATTCAGTGTTATAAACATGCCATAAAAAAAACAATCCAATGGACTTTCAGTTTAATGGAGTTTAATGACATTTTGCTTCCCATCCAGGAAGCTTTTTCAATTCAAAATGTCAGAATTGGCTTTGAGTTCGAGGTTTTATACAGTAGCCCAACAAAGCCTTGTTTTGGCTTCGAAAACATACAAATTGAAACGGATGAACAGATCCACCCCTTTGGAATGGGGGTCGTTTTACTTCTTTGTTATCCTGTAATATTATTGACTTAAAATCTGTAGTCTAACGGACATTAATTCTGTATATATATATATTTGCATTCTTCACTATAAAATTCTTACGGTTGTATTTTTAGAGTGGACCAAAGCAAAGCCTTGTTTTGGCTTAGAAAACATAAAATTGAAACGGAGGAACGGGTCCACCCCTTAGGAATGGGGGTTGTTTGGCTTCTTTGTGTTAGCCTTTAATACCCCATACCTGTCTATTTCTCCTC